CACAATTTGTGTGGTGAGCTTGAACGAATGTCGTTAATACTTTAATTGTTAACAACCTTTCTACCTAAACTTTTAAATGTTATATTTTTGGGGTGTTACAAACGAAAAAAGAAAACACATGAGATGATTCGAATGGAGTTGCAACCCCATACTAGAATGTTATAGCAGGCTATAACTCTAATTTATTTTGTTGCTTTTATATATATTTTGTTACAAAATTTATCTTTTTTTGTCTTTTACCTCCTAGTCCTAGCTACTTTTATGTTTTAATGATATGACAGCTTGCCATTAAAAAAATAAGCAATCTCTCTCTTTTGTTTGGTTTTGTTCTTCCAACTACTCACATATCGGCGACGACATTATTGCTTCATGGATAACCGTAACAAGCTAACATGGGAGATCAAAAAAATATAATTCAATTTTATGCAATGAAAAAATCAACTAGGAAGAGAAATATGTCTCTCAAACTTAGCATAAATACTAGAAAATAAATTATTTTGCTTCATGGAAAACCAAAACCAATGTGTAACAAAATAACAATCATATACTGCATATCAAGAATTTCTAGCTTTTTGCTTTGCATAAGCCGATAGTGGTGGTTCTTTTTGATAAGTATGTCACATAGTATTATTTTTGGTGTAATGATATGTCTAGAAAATACATTAATTGGGTTTGATGGGTTGAAAACCCTCGATTAGCTGTTATCCTAATGTTTTGTTTGTTTTTTGCCAGCTTATTGTTACTTGCTACTAGTTTCACTTTAATAAATCATGTCATTCTGACAAAAAAATTACATATCCTCTCCATTGGTTAGAAAAGGATCGTTTCTTCACCAGATTTTATGATTTCTGCGAAGGCTTGGGTTTCGATTGCATTACTAGAAGAGTAGTCATCGGTATGAGGCAACATCGCAGCCCTATTAGGATTTCAAGAAAACTCTTTTTGGATCGGCCAGTGTGGCAGAGGAAGTAGTGAGGAATGATTTTGAGGACGAAATCTAATTTAAGTGGGGGAGATTTATAACACCTTGTTTCGAGTCGTTTCTTAATTCGGGCATGTGACCGAAGATCAATTATTATAAGGCTTCGGGCTTTGAGGAAAGAGAGGTTTAGACCCATTTGGATGAGGGTAATGTAAATTATATGATCCAAGGGTTTGGTTTGTGCTTTGGATCCCAAGGGTATGATGGTAAAAGTAATGGTTCATACCTTTCATGAATTAAGGATTTTAGTTCGGAAGGTTTTAAGCCAAAGGAGAGTTGATAGGAGTGTAGGGATTCTCATTACCATTCCGAGCATATAAAGAACACCGAAAATGGAGTCGGGATGAAGAAGTCATGGCTGCCAAAATATAGGAAGAATATGGGTCTAGTCCAGTACATTGGGCGTACAGGGTGTACGTTAGGCGTACTAGGCTCATGTGATCGCGGATGACCAGCCTGATATGTTGGGCATACCAGGAGTACGTTGGGCGTATGGCTTCCAGACTCAAACCATAATTTTTAAGGATTAGGCCCTATTTAAACATCTTAACTCATGGAAACCCTCCCCTTATTCAGCCTCCATCCCCCTCAACCTGTGATTTCGAAACCCTAGCCCCTTTGAGAGCTTTCTTGACCTTTTTGGGTGTTTTGGTGCACTTTGGAGAAGGGAGAACTCATTGAAGAAGATTTGGATTACTTAGAGATTGTAGATCCTAGCTTGGTTTTCCTTGTTGCATCTTCTAAAGTTAAAAAGTCTCAAACTTGATGGTTCATTTGTTAGATCTTTGCTTGTGAGTGAGTTTTTGTGCTTTTTGGTCCCCATGAGTTGATTCTTCAGAGTAAATGCTACACCATAAGTTTTGGGTTGTTTACTTTGATGTTTTGAGGTCCCTTGTTCATAAAGTTTGCATCTTGATGGTTCTGGATCAACCATGCATGAGTTATTGACCTCTTGGTGAAGCTAGTAGACTAGATTTGGGTTTTGGGTTTCTTGGATCCATGCAAAGACATCAAGTTGGTGACTTTGTTGATTAAGACACCCATCAGATTTATATATGAGCCTTGGATGTAAAGTCTTAAAGGATTAAGAACTTTTAAGTGAGTCCTTGGTCATTTTGTTATGATAAGAAGCTTAACTTTGGTGTTGGGCTCACTACAAGAAAAATGACTTACAGTCACACCAAAAAAGTGTGACCATATGCGTATAGTGACATTTTATTTTTTCACTGAAAGTGTGACGGAAGGTGACACCATCGTATGGGTCTTATGGTCACTTTAAAATGTAGTGTCCGTATGATATGAAAATATGTGGCCGTATTATAAAAGTGTGGCAAATGTGTACGGAATTTTGTTCCTAAAATCAATCATTTTATCCAATATTGTAGCGTTAAACCATCAGTAGACACATTTTTTTAGTAATTGTAGTGACTGTATATCACCAATTGGCAACATACATGTTGTTTGAATGTGACATTTTGCTAATAAATTGTCACGCAATTTAAAGTTTATTAAGACTATTGGGTATCTTGTGCAGACATGAAATTACGTTAAAATCGCCAAATGGATTTAATTAAAGATTTTATTGAATAAGTGGTCGTAAATACTTTTTAGACACAAATTTTCGTTAATTAAGTGGCGCTAGGTGCCTGTATTACTACAAAAATTTATTTATTGGTGTTTGTTATTAGTTTGATACATATAAAACGGATTATTATGGGTGTAACCTACCTTTTAGTCACACATAAAGTGAGACGAATTTATTTTTAACGATGATTAGTTTATATTTGATGTGACTGCTGTTTACCCTTTAGTCACATTAATTTATGTTAAAATGTGACATATGATATCTTTTAATCACATAAAGAAAACTCATAAATAATAAAATAATGTGACCATTCTTTAGTATTAGTGATTCATAATCGTTTAACACCATCGTTGAATATTACTTATAGCAATACATATTTTCTAAATGATGTTATCTTTTAGTCACATTTATTTACGGTAAAACGTGACATATGGAATCATTACATTACATAAACAAAACTCATAAAGAAAAAAATGTGACCATTATTTACATTTTGTGATACATAAGTGATAAAATCATCACATTTTTTCTAATTAGTGTGACTATTTGTTACCCTTTAGCTATATTTAATCGTGTAATCGTGGTCCTAATTAAGATTTGGTCACATTTATTAATGAAATGCAGACAATATTAAAATGTTGCAAATAGATATATAGCAGTAACAAGAATAAACGAAAATAATATTAATCATTAATCCAAGTTAAATAGTATACACATATGTTGTAAGCAAAATATGCTTACCATGTATATAAACATAAAATGAAATATAAGTCATAAACTAAAAAGATCTTGTTATCGCTTTATATTCTTATATTCTTATTAACACTCCTCCTTGTTTTCTTGATATCTTGTGGCGTCACGAAAAAAACACCAATTATCAGCATTTTCCAACATAAAGTAAGATTGCCATCATCCACAGAAAAAAAAATTAGAAGACTGATATATCCTTTTCAAACATGAATAAAATTCTGGAACATATGAGTCCATCTATGTATCAAGTGTATTGCAAATTAACGAAATAAAGCACCTATTATCAACATTTTCCCTAATTTGGGATTCAATGGAAGCATTGCTAGATATTTACTTATATTTAAAAAAAATGAGAAAAGATAATCTTAGGAAATAAACTTGTATAGATATATACTAACCAATGTGTATAAGATGTTCGCATTCATCTAATGCTCCAATCATCTTTAAGAAATCCACATCATTTGGACCTAGAACAAATTGAAGTTAGAATTTAGCAACTTAAATCAATAATTAGGGCATAGAGATAGAGATTCAAGAACATTTATCTCTTTAAATTCTTCTTTTGTTGTGAGTGTCCTCCATTTGAAACAATCATTACATTACACAGAAAATGTTAACGAGTCAACAGAACTCTAAGGTGAGCCCCTCACACCTGCAAAACACCCACATCAATCTTGGAAACAATTCTTACAAACAAAATACTTTGATCAAATAAAACCAAATCATCTTCAAAAGCCTACAAATCCATACATGACAAAAGGTAGAAAGATAATTGTAAGAACCTTGATACAAACTTACTTGAAAATAATGTCTATTTTACAACAATGAAAAGAAATTGAAGACCATATTTTTTGATACACACCACATGACCGTCAAGAACACAAGACATTTAAACCCAACTTGGTGTTTTTCATGTATAGAATTGATACATGCTTTATAAAAATTGCACACCAAGCTAATATATCAGAGATTCATGTATTCATCACACAAGATACAAGATATAGGGTAGTAAAAACCTAACCTTCGTTACTTGTGCAAGTGAAGTCAGGATTCTAGATCCACCCCAACTGCCATACAAGAAAAAAAACTACAAGAAATAAGCTAGAAATTGAAACTATTTAAACAGATATAGAATACCTACAATAATATTCAAAATTTGGTCAAAGATTATGTAATGAATTGACCTTAGCTGATCAATGGCAATCACCCTGAAGTGTTTGGCAAGAGTGTAGAAATTTTTAAAAAAGAAACCTTAAGAAGTTGCATACCAATGGACCATTACAAGAGTAGAAGAATCATGTTTGTTGTCAAAGGTGATAGATGTTGATAAATCTTGATTCATTTCTAGCGGAACGAAACCACCCGACCTTAGATCTTGGTGGGGTAGATCTGATATCATTGAAAACAATATGTATGTTCCTGTTATGAACAGAACATGCATTTCATGTTATGAGCCATTGAACAATTATGAAAAGTAGACATCAATTGAAATTATAGGCAGAAAATGAACAGATACACCACAGTGAAAACAGTCAATAAACACATACGATTTCAATTACTGAACTCAGGGGAAAAAGGAAAATAGATGCAATGCAGATGAACGAAAGACACTAGCAATTGATATACATCTAAAATTTGCAGACAAACAGAGATTTTGATTTCAACAAGCACATAATTTCGATTTCAACTAAAATCAGGGGGAAAAGGAAATCGACAGCAGGCACAGTTGAACGAAAGCAGGAAAGGATAAGGAAAATCGCACCTAAAACGAATATGTGGTGTGCGATGGTCGTCAGTGTTATTGGCTGCGACGTATCCGGCGATTATAGTTGGCGACGAGCAATCAACGACGAGCAATTTGGTATCGCCTGAGGAAGCATACTACAGAAAATTACAAACAAACAACAAACTCAAATCAAACTGCAAACTTAAAAAGAAATCAGCGATTGGGGTTTTTGTTACAATTCGCTGGATTTCATTTTCGGTTATTGAAATTCATCTTCTCATAGTAACGAATCAAGAGAAGAGATAGAGAAAGTTAAACCTCGTCTTTTCCCCCAACGAGTTTTCACAGCGGTTGTGGTAGGCTTCGACGGAACAATTGTACGTGTCGGTGGTAGACACGACCAAGCCGACGAGGATGCGGCAGCAGCGACGGTTGAAGACGTCGATGAGGTAGCGGCGGAGGTGGAAGGCTTAGATAAGGCCATAAGTAATGGGAGTGGAGTCGCCGGAAGAATGGAGGCTGCGTGTGAAGCATACGAACGAAAACCTTTTATTAGGTTAAGGCATATGGCTTGAAAACCTTTTTATTATGTAAAAAACGACCCATGAGTTAGTTGTGAAAAACATAAGTTAAATAAATTTTGTTTAAATTAACTTAAATTCAAATTTTATTTAAATCGTATGGAGGGAACATGAAGGAGATCGAATTTTTATGAAATTAAGTGGGTGAATATAAGGAGGGAAAAAAGGTTAATTTTAGAGTAAGTTACATGCATCGTTCCCGTGTATTGTGTTAAAAGATACATTCGGTCTTTCTTTTCAAAAAAATAATTTGGATCGTCCCTTGTGTGGTTAGAAGTTGTATATTTCAACCTATGTCATACATAACATTACTATATTTACCTTTTGGTGATAGTATTTGTCGTCTATGTGAGAAAGATAGGGAGAGAAGCCAAGGCATCCGGTGGTAGTCGATGATGGGCACTGGTAGTCAACAACGGTGAACGATGGTTTTGGGGTCCTTTCATTTTTTAATGGTGTATGATCTGGTGCAATTAAAAGAATAGATGACAAAAGGGCAATTTGGTCCTTTCTTATAGCTCTTATTCAATACAACTATATTGTTATTTGTTTTTGTTTTTATTATTTATTTATTTTTTTGGTTTTTTCAGAAATTGTTTCTAACTTTACAAAACTGTCATTCAATTTTTTTCATTAATTTATACAACCCTTTAATTGCAAAAAAAAAGCAATGTACTTTTCTAAAATGGCATGATTGAACTTTTTGTTCATTTTTTTCTGCCAAATGATATCAAAGATAAAAATGGTCAAATTTATGAGTGTTTCAAAAAGTCTAAAATTGTCATTTTTTTGTATAATAACTTAACCAGGAAACAATTTCAGTTTTACAGCAACAAATTTTCATTTTATAAAGACTATTCTTCAAACTTACAAATACAATAGTACAACCAGAATGAACATTACATAATTATAGTAACATATTCAATGAACGCCCCCTAATTATACCGATAAGACATTATTGTTCTTTTATAACTATATTTACATATAGACACATATAATAGCTGTAATTATAACTAAATGCTACCTACACACACACTATTTGTTTCTTCTCAAAGCCAATTCATCATATTTTGACACACATAATAAAAGGTACATGACCATAAACAACCAATACTAACTTGTTGTTTTTATTGCGTTAACTAAATACAACTAGTACAGAACCGCCCTATGGACACACAAATATTTAGTGTGACCATATGTATCACCTTTTAGCTACTTTGTCTGTTATGTGTCTAAAAAGGCACCGGGTTATAGACACACATACAACTGACTCATGTCACAATACGTTTATCTACTGTCTCTCATAAAAAAAGTATGACAATCTTAATCGATACATGTGGTTGATTGTGACCTATGGCCTCAATGTTCGAGTGTGACTAATATTTTGTTACATTTGGTATAATTAAGTGTGGTTAAAGTTTTTATTATCTATATAATGGCCACACAAACTAATTTAAATGTATCCAAAAACAGTCTCTAAATGTTTTTAGTAACCTTTGGCCACACTTGTAACATCCCAATTTTCAAGGCCAAAAATTTCATTTTTAGATAAGTTATTACATAAAACCATCAGTATAAAAACATTCATAATAATATCTCATGTCAAATCCAAAGTGTCAATAATCAAAATGTATTATCATAAAACCATATCAGAGTGCAATCCCAAAGATCTCATGTGCGGAAAACATAGTGTGATGCGCTGCGATCAAGCCGACTCCATTCCTTTAAACACGAAGTACCTGAAACCAAAACTGAAAACCGTAAGCACGAAGCTTAGTGAGTTCCCCCATCGTACCACATACCATATAATCACATAACATGCATATACTGTCAGGCATATCTGGGTGCCCGACCTACCCCTTCGGTCCTCTCGACCGGATACTGCCTAGCATATCTGGGTGCTGGCCTCCCCTTCGGTCCTCTCAACCGGATACTGCCTAGCATATCTGGGTGTTGGCCTCCCCTTCGGTCCTCTCGACCGGATACTGGGGACTATTTCACCCCCTACTGCTACTATCACATATATCATAACATAAACATACTATCAGACATATCTGGGGTGTCCGAACTACCCTTCGGTCCTAACAACCGAACTTTTGGGGACTATTCCCCTCCTACTACCACTATCACATATAACATATCATGCCGGCATATAAACATATCATAACATAATGTCAGACATATCTGGGGTGTCCGACCTACCCTTCGGTCCTAACAACCGAACTCTACTAATATCACATATAACATATCATGCCAGCATATAACATATCAGGTAGTAGCAAACCTAGATGAATATCACAAAGACAATCATCTAACATACAACTCCTACTGGTGGGCCGGCATTGTGGCCGTAGACCCACCGCTACTGGAAGGTAACTCACCTCACACTGCTGAAGTCTCGTAGACTCAACCCCACTCTGTTGAAGTCCAGCAGACTCAACCCCAGCTGCTGGATGACAGATTCCCGAACTGTCAACATCAAAACAACACCCAATTAATAATTGGGTTCTAATACATAACCATAAGTCCATGCTTGGGGGTAAAAGACTACTCTACCCCTAACTTGGCTTAATTCAAGCCCGAGGCCCAATCCAAAGGCCCAAAAGTCCAACTATGGCTCAAAGCCCAACATATGGCCCAATTTTCCAAATTGGGCCCAAACCTTTACAAGGTCTTACCATAAGGCCCAACCATTTATTCCAGTCCAACCTTTGACAGTTTAATGGTCCAATATTATATAATCATTAAGGCCTAACTATGGTCCATCTATGGCCTAATTTTCCAAATTGGGCCTAACTCCTCATATGGGCCTTACCTCAAAGCCCGTTAATTATTCTAGTCCATTTTGCTTGATCTTGGACGGCCCATTAATAACCCAGTCATCAAGGCCCAATAAAAGGCCCAACAATAAACCCAAGCGAAATTAGGGTTTTCTCACAAAATGACAATTAGGGTTAAGTGTTTCTCACTTAACCCATTAAGGACTTAATCCATTAAGGACTTAATCCATTAAGTCCGTCATTCTTCTAAATAAGTCATATGGTGTGATTGGGCTTAATCACACAATTCCATTACAATGGCCCAAAAGTGGGTCCCAAAGTCCAAGCTCATAAATCCAATATTAGGGTTTTCTAAACCCTAATTAGGGTTTCCAACCCCATCTTAGCCCAATAGGCCCAATTGATATGTCTTTTGATTAATTAAGGTTCATTAGACTCATTAAGGTTTTACTAGGCCCATTAGTCATCTATTTGGGCTTTTAGGTCCATTAAGCTTTATTGGGCCCATTAGGGTTTATTAAGCCCATTAAGCCTCATTGGGCCCATTAGGGTTTCTTAGTCCCATTGTCCAACCATCCAAACAATTCAAAACACCATCAAAGCACACCGCCACCCCAAACGGCGGCCGGTGGCGGCAGGAGGCGACAGCCACCACCTAACGGTGGTGGTGACAGATTTTCTTCACTATTCCAATTAATACAAAAATTACAACGAAATAACCAAACCGCACACGCACACACACACACACACTAGGCTAAAAGCATACACACACACTAATCTGGTGGCCGGCGGCGGCATGTGGTGGCAGTGGCGGTTCTCGATGGCAGCCACCACTTCTCGGTGGTGGCAGTGGTCTCTTTGGCTTCCTTCACGTAGCAACATAACATACATCCACGAATACACCCACAGCCACCTCCCATGGTGGCTGGTGGCGGCGGAATAAGACAGAAGCACACGAGGGCGGCAGCAGCGGTGAACAACGGCTCTGTGGGGGCAGTAGCAGCGATCTAGGGCAGCAACAGCGACCGCTATCTCGGTTTTCACTCTTGTCGTCGGATTCACACAGTTGACGGTCTACCATGGCGTCACGGAGGCGGCGGCTAGAGGCAACATAAGAAGAAGAAGTTGCGAAGGGACGGTGGCGGCTGGTGTTGACGTCGGAACCGTCGCATCAGCTTCGTGAAGGTGGTTTCGGTGGTTACCGGTCCCAATCGTGGTGGTGCAACGCTGGAAGTGAAGTAGGAAGTGGCGGTTAGCGACGACAGCAGCTCAGCAGCACATCGACGGCTTGGTGGTCGGAGGAACTAGGGTGGCCGATGGGGGCATAAGGGGTGACGGCTGGAAGGTTTTTGTTAGGGTTAGGGTTAGTATGGGTTATATACCCGTGCCCTAGGAACGTTAATGCCATAATGGCAGAAATAGTCCCTCCCTTCCAAAATTGTTTTCAAACTAAGCCCAACTTTTACCTTTTCTATCCCAGCTTCGGAAATCCCCTTCAAATTTGATACCTGATTTACCAAACAGCCCCTAGGCCTCCAAAATCTCTTCAATGAAGTCCCAATAATTTCTATTTAGTCCCTGCCTTCCATAAAACTTACAAATTAAGTCCGGATTTTACACTTTTAACCCCCAATCTCTTAGAGTGTGACAATTAGCTCTACGAGACCATCATTTGATATATAATTATTTATTTTAGGGCTTCTATTCGTTCATTAATTTATTTATTTGTCTAATAAATAAACAGGGTGTTACAACACTTTTTATAAAAAGCGTCACAGGCCGTTTTTCGGAAAGTGTGACCGTAGGTCATTTTTGTACTAGTGGCTTTATTAAGTCATGTTAGGTCATAAAGTCAGGAACTTTATGACTCTAGACGTCCATCAGGCTTGAACTTGAGGATTTGGACATTTGGTCATAAAGGAATACGACCTAAAAATGGAGTTTTTGGGTTTCAGCACTGTACGCCGGTCGTATTGGGGTAGTATGCAGGGCGTACACACCAAGGTGCCATAATGGGACATTTTTGGGCCTTGGGTCTTTTGGGATTTGGGCCATGAGTTTTTAGGTCAGATATGGGAAGGGTAAAATAGTCTTTTACCCACTGATATGATAGAGTATGAATTGGACCTTGGTCTATGGGAAATTTCCTTAGTTATTGATTAG